GTTGTTCAGCATGGGGGTGAGTAGAAAATGAAGGCTAATCATGTTTTGGGTGTACTATTCCTTTAACTTCTGAATGTTCCAGTGAGCACTGCTGGGACCATAATCTGGAAGTGGAAAGAACATCATGCCACCATAAACTGACTACGACCAGGTGCTCCTCGACAGATTTCTGAAAGAGCAGTGAAAAGAATTATCAGAAGATTTGTCCAAGAGCCAAAGACCACTTGTTGAGAGCTTCAGAAAGACCTGGAATTAGCCAGCACAATATTTTCATAGAAAACAATAAGTAATGCACTCAACCGCCATGGCCTGTATGCACACTCACCACACAAGACTACATTGCTGAAGAAAAGGCATGGTGAAGCTTGTTTAAAGTTTGCTGCACAACTTTTAGACAAGCCTGTGAAATACTTGGAGAAAATAGCTGGTCAGATGAGACCAAAATAGAACTCGTTAGATGCCATAATACCCATCATGTTTGGAGGTCAAATGGAACTGCACATCACCCCAAGAAACACCATACCAACAGGAAGTTTGGAGGTGGGAACATCATGGTGTGGGGCTGTTTTTCAGCATATGGTACTGGCAAACTTCTAATAAATGAAGGAAGGATGAATGAGAAAAAAATACGGAGACATTCTTGATAAAAATCTGCTACCATCTATTAGGATGATGAAGATGAAATGTGGGGGGACGTTTCAGCTAGACAATGACCCCAAACACACAACCAAGGAAATTTAATTTGTTTCAAAGAAAGAAAATAAAGCTGATAGAATGGCCCAGCCAATCACCTGACCTGAATCCATTAGAAAATCTATGGAAGGAAATAACAATCAGAGTTCATAGAAGATGACAATGGAACTTTTAAGATTTTAAGACCATGTGGAAGAATGGGCCAAACTCACACCTGAACAATGCATGCAGTTAATTTCTCCATACAGGAGGTGGATTAAAGCAGTTATTACCAACAAAGCCATTTGTACAAAGAATTTACAAAATTTCAATAAGTGTGTTCAGTACTTCTTCCCTGTGCCATTTCACATTATAACACATAACTTCATTTCTGGACATCTATGGTTTGATTTATTTGTATCAGTAAATTGCATGGATCGTTACATCTGGTGTAAGTGTCATATGTATAGTACTTCCAGAAATATATTTACTGAGAAAAATGGTGCTATGTTCAGTAATTATTTCACCCGTACATTTAATCTCTTACATGGGCATTCTCCTTTACATATATTCTTCCACATATAAATATACATTCTATTCTTATAACCCACATATAGTTCTCGCATATAGAGATTCTCAAGACTTGGCGTTCATGCAACCCTAACTTCAGTTCTCCTTGAAGCGTCATGTGAACAAAAGCATCTGCAGAATTCTGTTGCATTTGTTCCAAACATCCCATTATACTTTGAAAAAACAATAATTTTCCATGCTCCTCAACCAAACATTACAGAAGAACAAAAAATGAGAAATCGGGATCAATTTGAATAGTTTCATAATGCACTTTTTTCAAATAAATACTGTTAAAATATGCCATGGAATTGGCAGTTTGTTTCCTGATTTAAGAATTACTTCCTGTTTGAGTAAGAACTTCCTGTGTCACCCATTACGTGGATTGTTTTAATAGAAATACTGTATATGTGTCTCAGAGAACAATGTATGCATGCTTTCAGATCTACTATGTAGATAATGTGATAAGAGCATTATGCTCTATGATGCATTTCGTTACTTTTTTTCTAGAAAAGCAGAAATCTATATGGGCTAGGTGAAATAGAAATAATGCAACCTTAATTTTCACATCAACTTTTATCTATCTATCTATCTATCTATCTATCTATCTATCTATCTATCTATCTATCTATCTATCTATCTATCTATCTATCTATCTATCTATCACTCTCTTAATTGCACTGCTTTTCACATTTCCCAAGATAAATGTCTTTCAAAATTCTGATTATGACAATATAAGTGACTATAACATGCATTTTCCTCTATTTTAAGGTTCTACAATGATATAAACACCTGGGAAGTGGATCGCCAGTTTCTCTGGGGACCATACCTGCTCATAACACCAGTGCTTGATCCGGTTAGTTAAGAAGCAAAGTTACTTGACTTTCATAATCAAAAAGAACAAAGAAAATCTTTAAAATAAACCAAACGTTCATTGGAAGTATTGTGTTATATACAGCGGTTGATGATGTATTAAATCCTGCGAAACTAAAGAAAACCTGGCTAATACACAAAGAGAAATGTCTTGCTGATGAGGTGATCAGCCATTTATACGAGCAAACCATGACCTCTCATGAGAAAACATGACATCGGATTTTCTTTGTTGCCCTCTACTCTTCTCATCCGTCGTTCATTTCTCCTCCAAACCCTCCCTCTTTTCTTTCAGCTCTAATGAGAGCGCTGACCTCATTACTAGAAGATTAGTAATGCAGATAGAAATGTGTGTGCTTGTGTTTTTCTGAGCGTAAATGCATGCCATTGTGTGTCCATATAATTGTCCGGGTATGTAAATGTGTATGTCTGTTAGAGCTTACATTTACAGCACATGTGTATAAGCATGTGAAATTATGGCTGTTGTATCAAACAGGCCTGAATTAATGCCCTCTGGAATTACAAAGTTGTGAAAAGGAAACTGGATTTATGAAAGGCTGGAGGAGTGCACTGTAAGTTTATTCAGAGGGTCTGTGGAAAGTTATCCTGTTAAAAAAAAAGTTAGCATTTGGGTTACAGTAGTTTAAAGCTTAGTGTAACTCTAAATGCATGGACACAGATGAGCCTGAGGGTGACGGAATAAGATGTTATTTTGATCTGACATGATTTTTTCAGGCAGATATGAAATCCTGTTTTAGGAGTCTATCCGGAAACAGAATAGAATTTCAAAAAAGAGAAAATGTCTGGAAGCACCGCAGTTGTATCAGTTTGATCAACAACTAATTTTCCTTCTCTTAAGTAGTAATTGCTTTCCATCGCTGTGCCCTGATAATTGAATACAGAGAAAATCAGCCATAAAAGTTCATCCCCAAAGAGCAAATTAACGACCTTGCTTATGATGGTGTGTATTTTTGATTAATGAATTTCCAGTACATTAGCCAAATGTTTTCCAGAATTGGATTCAAAACTTGCATGTCCCATTGTCCTTGTCTGATGGTGACAGGCCTGTAAGAATTAAGCTCCGGAAATGTTTTATTCGTATTCATGTTACTATAACGCAAGTATTTCTTTTTTTATTTGATTTTTATTTTTAGCAAAAACATTCAAATTTGAAGTAACCTCCCAAACAATTAATTGAATTATATAACCATAGATATCTGCTCTAGCAAACTCAAAGGGTTGGACCAACATGCAAATGGATGATGGTTATTGCCCAAGACGATGCACTTAAGAAAACACTGAATTGTTTACACAGAATTAATGTAATGCTAATCTTCAGATAAATGAAACTTGTTGAAAAGAGTATTTGGCTCAGAGCAAATTTTAAATGGTCTAACTCTTTTAATAGTAGCAAATGTGACAAAAGTGCCATTTTGTACGACAATCCGCAATACATCACAGCAATGAAAAGAAGAAACACAAGAAGGACATAATAAATAAATAATAAACCTAATTAACCACATTAGCCAAGAAGTAAGAGACATTTTAATCTTAAAATTGAAGGCTTTCCTAATTGGACGTAGTGCTCACTTTTACTTAAACCCCTACTGCTTAAACCAACAGGATTTCATGTTCTTTGCACTGGATTGTATCCATGATTATCTTGATAATAATAAACAAGACAAAAAGAGTTTGCATAAAACTTTCACTTAAACATAATTTGGAGATTTTAAAAGTCAAAACATGCATGTTCTAAAATAGTGACGCTCAACCAGTTAAAACTGAAAATAAACTGCATACATCAAGATGTAAACATAAGCATAATATGAAAGATATATATTATCATTGATAGATTTTAAAGGGAAGATCAAACCTCATTTTTAGGTAATTGTAGTGTAGTATTTGCACTGGATTTAAAACCAGATACAATACAAAAAAATGTTTTGTACTTTTCACTATCAGATATTAAATCAAACAATTTCATAGGTTTTGCTTAAAAATAAATCCACAAATAAATGTCATAATTTAAGCCAGATATTATGTTAAAGTATATGAGCCTTGCAAAGCCATGATATCACCGTTTTGGCTTTCATCTAAAAATATTTAGAGAGGGGTTATATATGTTAATGCAAACTTCTGAAGCTGAAACAAAGAGCTTTCTAATAATATCAAAAATAATGTCTCACTCATGTAAAAAATATAAACTGGAATAAATGTGGACAATTTGTTGTCAGACAATGAGAAGGATATTTGTAGAAAATTAGTCTTAGAGTTTTAATCCTGTCTATGTAAATATCTGATTTCAACTGTTTTTCATACGTCTCAGTAGGGCCAAAAGATCTAGTTTTAAAAGAGCAAAGGGAGAAACATTTTTTAATTAACCTTTTAACATAGGTGGAAACTTCAGCCAAGTGGTTAGGTCAAAATCACATCTATCTTGCATGCAGTATGAGGTAAATTGTAATATCTCAGTTCAATTCAGGACAAGACCAGTGTATCTGTCACGTGGAACAGATGTGTCTGGCTTTTTTTTTTTTTTCATTCTCTCTCTGTTCTGTCCAACCTAATTATCTCATTTTCTATCTATGCTTTTCTCTAAAGTTAGTCTTTGTATATCATACAAATCAATGCATGACTTAACCTTGATCTGTGATAAACTGAGAGGATCTCCTGTACTGCCTCTCCATGCTGTCCCCTCTGATTTTCGGAGTGCTTTCAGCTCTGCCTTCATGCCAATATCTCCCTTCTCTTTTAAACTCAACCTTTCATCAAACGTTGGCTCCCATCGGAATTCTCTTAATCAGCTGCTCCAACTCACTCTTGTGATCACATTCCATTGCATCAACTTTCTCTTTAACTTACTCTCACACTTATGCTCTGTAGCTTTCTTCATCCTATTTAGTATCTGATCATTCTGCCAGATCAAATCTTTAGCCAAACTGATTAAATCTTACCCTTTGGCTAACTCAGCATTGAAAATAAGGATGCATGCCTTTTGCATTGTCCCCTTTAATTATGGTTAGCATCCAAGGTACATCTTGCAAAGACCAGTAGTCAGAAAAGTGAGTGATAGGCAATTGTATGTGATGAGCTTTAAAGGTAGGATTTACATGCAGCACTTGTGATAGGAAATCAATGTCAAACTGCAGATAGAGCCCTAAAAGTTGCAGTATGTCTTTTCATTTAGTTTGAAGGGGCCTTAAGAAACCTTTTTCTCATAATTTGACCTTTTTATCAATGAAAGTATCCCTTCTTTACTTAAGAACAAAAAAAAAAATCTATCTATCTATTTTACCACCATAGTTTAACCTTCCTACCCATAGTTTCAAAACTTCACCATGACCCTCCCTTTGTGACCACATCCTGTATCAAATGGCTTCTTACAGCAAAATAATGTGCCATCCCACATAGTTCAATTTAGCTCAACCTGTTTTTTGCCATTATAATGGTGAATTTATTGTACAACACTCATCTCCACCAGATCTCAATCCAGTAGAGTACTTTAGGGATGTAATAAAGGGGAATCATTTCATGGCTGTGAATCAACTTTGTAATAATTTGGACACAAATATTTAGGGTAGTTCTAGGTAAAGGATGGATCCTCCATATAATACCGGCATGTAGTGGAAAACGAGAGCATATTTAAAGCCTAACCCTCTTAAAACAAAGGAGCTAAGCTGTTCTCTTTCAATTTTCTTTTGTCAAAATTAAAAGACATCAGAAAAAATAATGCAACTTGTATGTCAGACAGAAAATAGAAGACTTGTGTCATTGTTACTTATTATAAATTATATTTTGGTCCTGACACAGAGTCTTTCCCAATTTGATATTCCTGGGAAGGACATACAGTTTGCCTTTCCTTTTGCTGTGCCCTCTGTGTTTATATCTCCCTTTCCCTCTGTTCTGCACTGACAGAGAGAACAGGGAAGTGACAATGCTATCAAAGGGCTTGCGTACGTCTATTGATTGCCCCTGTCTGTGCACCACCTTAAGCCATCAAAGGCTGTCACCTATCAGTCGTCTCTTGGTGCCGTCTTTTCTGTCACCTGTTGCAACCTAACACCATGGAAGAAGTGTGACAATGACTGTGTCAAAGAACTTTATATTACATGATGGGCAGTTATAAAATGGCTTTTCTAGATGTGAACATTTTGTCTTATTTTTTTTATTAAATGTGTGTTGCCCCCTTAATTTCTGTAATACAGCTTCTGTTCTTATCTTAATCCAATTAAGATCAAAGTGTCAGGATTGGAACAGTGAGCTCTATCATCTTTTATAGATCTCCAGTTTTATACTAACTGATTTATACCAGAAAACATAGATATTGCACATATGGATCTATTTAAAATGTTGTTTTCCTTTATTCATACAGGGTGTGGAAGATGTCCAGGCATATTTTCCAGATGCACGTTGGTATGACTATGAAACGGTAAGAATGTTTTCTAATCATCCCCGCTTTGGTACATTTGTTTCACCACTTTTCAATACTTTTCAATTTTAAAGATATCATTTTGAAATTGTGAAAGACCAAAACCAGGAATTGCATCACCTGGGTGTGGGTTGTGTCTGCACAGGATAGGGGGTTGAATACAAGGTTTTCAAAGGATGTACACATATAGTACAAGGTTGTTACACTAAAAATCTGATTAACATGAAATCCATTCTACTGTTTATATCTTATACCCCTTACTAGGTAGAAATGCTTATAGTTGCTCTTTGATATCCTCAAAGGTCCGTTACAGAACATTGTCTCATTAATAACTGATGCAACCCAAGAGTCCCTTGGTAACTATTGTAAAGCTGCAGAGATTCACACCTCAGGTGGAACAATCTCTTCAAAGGATCTCTATTAGCCATGTTCTTCAAAAATGTGGTATTTATCCAAAGATGAATGTGAGAAAGCTATTTCTGAAAGAAAGGCCATTTGATTCCATAATTGCTACAGGCCTTTCTAGGAGACAAATAAATGTGAAGATGGTCAGATGATACCACCTGCCTTGTTTACATCCAATGCATATTAACAAAAAAAAAAAAACATACCAAACACACAAAACCTTCCACTTGCCATTTTTAGACCCAGCATCATGTTATGGTAATGTTAGTTTTCAGGGGAGATAAGGAAGCTCTTCACGGTTGATGGGAAGATGGATGAAGCTAAAAACAGAACAGTCAAGAGAGCAGACAGATTTACTTCCCAGCAGTAGAATAGTTATAGCCTACAACCAGAGCTACAAGACAATAAACCAAATATCTGTGTGTAATACTGGCTCTGGCCTACCCTCTGCTTTTCACTACTGTGCAAAACTTACTGGGTTAATATAAAATTCCAATGAAATACTTTATAGTTAGTGGTTTACCTTCATTCTGTAACATATTAGAAATTGCTACTTTTAAAGTGAAATTGTTCCCAAAATGTTTGACAGCAAGATTTTATTGCAATGAGTTATAGAAGTTTTAAAGAAATGGTAAAGTAATTATCATTAAACTATTAACAGTTGATACCAAAACACTGAACATCTTGTTCCTACTGAAGGTTCTACTTTAAAATTAGAATAACTTAATAAGTATAAACAATTCAATCCTTTTTAAAGGTTACTGGCATACGAGCATTGGGAATTAGCTAAAATGACATTAGTATAATAGAAAAGAATAGAAAAGAATAGAATAGAATAGAATAGAATAGAATAGAATAGAATAGAATAGAATAGAAAAATGGTCACACAAATACGGACCTTAGAAAAATGTATAAGAATAACATCATAGGCAAGGCATTCAAGGCAGTGTTACTATATTATTTTGCTCCTCTCTGAATTACATATAGGGCATGTTTCTCAAAAAAATTATTTGCTTTGGGCCATTTATTTGTGATGGAGAAAATGAAATGATAAAAGTTAGGATAAAGCTAGATTAAAAGTGGGGACAAGTAGGACAGAGGAGAGACCTTCTCGCTAACAGAGAGATAAAAGAGGTGCTGCACTCCTTTGAGACCTTATTTGGGCGTCACTGGTGATGTAAGGCGCCCACTGATCAGATGAGAGATTAGATTGGCTGTGTGTTGCTGGCCCCTTGTCCTGGTTGGTCCCCTGTGATTATCTGAGTAGGATGGTGGAAGGGTGGAGGAGTTTTGATATTTGTGAAAATGACCATGGATGAAAAACAACCGTCAAAAAATGCAAGAGTTCAAAATAAGAAAAAAAAAACAACTACTGGTAAAGAGAACAGAGATGAAGTTTTAGTAAACAAGAAAAAAAAAAAGAAACTTTGCCAAAACAAAAAGGGTAGAAAGCATGATAGGCACAAGAAATTATTAAAAACCAGAATGCAATGAGGATTTCAGATTTTGGAGAAGTGGCGAGAAAACATATTTGGGAAGTAAAACTAAAGAGACCAAGATAGGCTAAAGAAGACCACCTTAACGCAGAAATGGGAAGAAGATGGGATCTTAAATTGCCTGTAGATGCTCCACTAGTTCCAAGCCCACACATGCACCTATACTGTAAAAGCACTCTGCACACACAAACACAGTTTCATGGATAGACGCACTCTCAGTGGAATGGGTAAAAATGTGATAAAAAGAATTAGAGCACCACAAGACAGAAAAACAGGATGTGGAAAAGGAATTAGGTATAAGAAGAACGAGATGAGATGGAGAGGAGTGTGTTTTAAAGACTGCTCTAAGGATCCAGTCTTCAGGGGTTCACAAATTAACCATGAAGGGTTCTTTTAGAAATAAAGGTGAGGTGCAGAAAGCAAAAGATAATAACTGGACAGATATGTGGAGAAATATCTACTTCCCTAAATTAAAAGATTGTTTACACTCTTTGGGTGTTGATGCTAAAGGGGCAGATTGCTGGGATCCTTCCTTTTATAATTAAGTTTAATGTAATCTATGTACTTTAGAATAGGATAGAATAGAATAAAATAGAATAGAATAGAAAATCCCTTTATTGTCCCACAATGGGGAAACTCTGGTGTTACAGCAGCAAAAAGATGATAGAAAAATTGTCACACAGGTCAAAAATAAACTGAGGAAAATATCCTACTGAAGCCAGGAATATGTTACAATATTGCAGCTTGAGGCTGATGACACTTCCGGTCCAGCCATATAGATAACTAGCAGTATCAAATTTACTCTAAATATCATATGATGCTAATGGAAAGCATTGAAAGAGGTTTGTTTTACAGCGCAACATATGTATATTAAACAAAGTTTAAGGAAGAAATGTCAATTAATAGTTTATTGGGATCAATAGCAGTAATTTTAGTCAGATTGTCATGTTTCTGTTTAAAATTTGCATCTAAATCCACCAATCAGATTAACAACATCCCTTTTTTAAAGAATGACTGACACGTATATTGATTTTGAGAAAAAAAAAAAATTAAATGACAAATGCTTCCCATTGGAATACCTTTGTGTTTCTGCTTTATGTGAGAATGTAAGATAAATAATAAATAAATAGTTTTTTTTTGTATTTTATGATTTACAGCTCTTAAAAAACTGTAGTTTGTAGAAACAACTGGACCTACAGTCATTTACACATACAGAAAACACAGTTTTATAGTTTTATCCTTTTATTACTATAGATGTTGCTGATATAAAAACAAAAATATAGCACTGCAACATTCTTTGCAAGGATAATGAAGACGTGATAACCGGATAGCAAAAACTGTTGGACAGGTTCATCTCCTGTCAGAAAACTCATGTAAATTTTGGTTATGTATGGTAAAAAGGAGCTGCGACAAATCAAGCTGATGGTCAATTAAAACGGCAAAGAACTGTTTTATCAGCTCAATAGTCTAAGGTCGCATTCGGACCCACACTGTTAAAAGCACAGCACCTAATACAGAGCCGTGAGGGTTACCTTTTTGATATATAGTTTACAGATAGAAAGACCTCTGCTTAAAATGATTCATTCATTTATTTATGTATTTATTATTTTTTTTTTTTTACATAGATGGTACAGAGGGGAGACCGCAAAGCATTTGTAAATGTGCATCTGCCTGCTGAAAAGCTTGGCTTACACATCAGAGGAGGCGCAATCCTTCCCACGCAGGAACCTGAAGTCACTACAACATACAGGTACTCTCATCATTCTTTTATCATCCAATCAGGCACAGAACTGTCTCCCTCATAATGTCACACATTAAGCTGGATGTATTTTTATTTTTTTTTATTAATAAAAGCAATTTATTTTATTATTCTAATGAATACAATTCTAATCTGTTCTATGTATCATCCAGTCTTTTGATTATTTATTTGTATATTTCTACAGTCGACGTAATCCAATGGGTCTGATTATTGCTCTTGATGACAACAACAAAGCATCTGGGGAGCTATTCTGGGATGATGGAGATTCCCGAAGTACTGCAGCATTCATTCATTTTCAGCAAATGTGTTTGTGTAGCCAAAACTCAGTTACTATCACTGATTACTTCCTTTTTCTTCATGTAATAGAAGCACTTATCCATTAGAGTTCAAAGAACTGTATGAGTCAATTACAGCATTTCAGAGACTAAAAACTCTGCGTCAACAAGTGGGGGAAAGTTACTATTAAAATCTACTCTTCTTGCAGATACCGTTGAAGATGGCAAGTACATCCATTACCAGTTCTCTTTTGAAAATGTAAGTTATAACCATGTGCATTTTTTACTGTATATTTACCACAATAAAACAACCTGTTCGATCCAGCCAGAGGGAGAAAGACAGTTAATATTGTAAACTGGCTTCAAGAGTCCAGATCACAATGCTTGGCCAAATAATGGTTGAACTGTAAAACTTTGCTAGTTAAACAACATCCTACTTGATGGCATACAGGATTATCTTACATATTTAATGTGTTTGTGGGAATATTTTTCATGCTACAGTGCTCTGATGTGTAGAGTTTACTCAGAGAAAATATTTAATATGTTTGTTTCATTGAAATTAAACTATGTAATTAATTTTACTGATAAATGTAGATATATTATAAATTGTATAATTTGCAGACCTGTGCTGGATGCTTAATCTGACTTTTTTATTCTTGTGGTATCATAGGGAATACTGAAGTTACAGGTGACCAATAATGGCTACAAGGATCCAAATAATCTAAAGTTTGAGAAGATCACTGTCTTGGGAGTGCCAGCTCGACCAGCATCTATCACTATGACACCTGATGGAGGTTCTTCTACAACACTACCAGACTCCAGTTTTACCCATAATGCAGGCACACAGGTAAATAAGCAAGCTGAAGACACACAGTTAATCCTTTATTGCATTATTTTAAGTGGAATAGTCACATAAATATATATGTTTGTGGTTTTACTTAAATATCAAAATACCTGATTCACATTTGAATTGTAAATAATTTGCTAACTTGGGGCTATTTATTGATTCCATTTAACATCACTCTGTTAGTTTGGCTGCTTACAATTTAAAAGCAAATAAATTAGGGATTGAACTGTGCAGCAACACTGTTAGGAGTACTCTACAAACTTTCCTGCACCAAAGAGCATGCTAAGTTAACAAATTGTTTGCAAACCTCTAGAAGGAAAATAGCAGCTAAACAGGTACATTTTCCTCCTAGGCTTTAATGAAGACCAAGCTTAGATTTATGATAAAGGCAGAAAAATGAACTAAAGCAAATGCATAAGTTGCTTCCGTAGAATGCTGGTATCTGTCCACATGACATTTATGATGTGGTATTAATTAAGTATAATCTTTTTAGTTAATTCACTCATATTCTAAAATTTTCATACATAGGCTTCTTCTAGTTTAATGGTAAATGACTAAAAAAGGAAAATACTAAATGCACTGTAGTCGTGTGGACAAAAAAACCTTATTAGTGATTGGAAAAAAAATTATCAGGTCTAATGCATCAAAATATAAGCTTTTGGCCTTTAAGGTGATTATCGAAAAAAAAAACAAAAAAAAAAAACATAAAAATAATAATAACCGCTTGTTATGAATGGTTCAGGGTGGCGAAAATTATGTAATGGTGTGGAGGATAGTTTCTCAATATATAGTCTACTGACTTTTGTTTTTTTGTGTAAACTAAAGCAACCAATTTGCACTATGTATAGAGCTAATGGCTGGTGCTATAAATCTACACATACTAAACTTTGCATTAAAGACTCAGTTGTGTGTATATTTATGTCTGATAGCAACCATAGGACATATAGCATTTAGTACTGTTATCTTAGACATACAGGATAAATATTTTCTTCCAACACCCAGAGTTCTATCGTTTGTTTCAATAAGTCCTGGAAATACACCATAGGTATGCATTTCAAGGATGGCCTCTAACTGTAAAAAATGACAACAATTGTTATGGTAGTTGAGGGTCGTAGGTGGCCTCCATGGGTGCTTATGTGTGCAGGAAACAAAACATAGACAGAGGATAACAGTTAAGAGCAATAACTTTACTGTAAGCTTTCATGCTCACATTGAGAAAGAGTTTATAAACAATCAAGAAGCCCTTGGTAGTGGAGTGGGAGATATTTTCCTTTGTACACTTGTGTATTTAAGAGTAACCACACGCTTTTGTGTATGTGTATGTGCACAGTTGCAGAGGCTCTCTTGAGGATCTTCAAGGTCTCTGTGGTCACTCACACAAGCATACATTTATCAAATGACTCTTTGTAGCAATAATTTCCTGGGGGAGAGGGATAAATGTACTTTTGGACTTAAATTTAAACTTGTCATGAGAAATTGTCTTTGTAACTGTAGACTGGGCCTTGAGAGTACGTTGAAGCTTCATCATTCTTATTGACTTTTTAAGAAATGATTCCGATGTAAAGGTAGCAATGTTTCTTGTATTTATTGTCCTACTAGTCTATAAACTAGTAATAATGCTTTTATTTACTTTTGATGCATATTTGCATATTTTCCGCTTTTTCTAAATATAATATCATGTATGTTTGCTTTGCGTGATGCATTGCTAAATTCATGCATTCATAAAATAATCTGTGAAAAATAGTTTCCAAAGGGATCTATACAAAAAAGGGCTAAGATTATAAATACTGAAACACAGTTCAGGGTAGATAAGTCGGAGTAAGGCGTAAAACATGATTGCTATTTAATTTGGATCACCTTGTCTAAATGATCACAACATTTCTCTTAATTTTTCAGGTGCTTTCCATAATCAACCTGGCCCTGGAACTTGGCAAGAGCTACACAGTTCAATGGACGATGACGGCAAGCCCAGAGATTCCTGAGCTTGAACGTTTTGACTGCCATCCAGAGGAGCATGCAGATGAAAACAAATGCAGGGCTAGGGGCTGTCTGTGGAAAGTGAGCAGTGATTTACTTAGATGATGTTTATATGTTCCAAGTTTATTGTGAAATAAGGATTAACTTGCTAATTTATCTTTTTTTCCATGTGTAGAAAAGTGAAACTGCTGGGGTTCCTTGGTGTTACTATGCAAATGACTACGGTTACTCTTCTAAAGTAATCAGCAGCACCAGTTCAGGTATCACGCTTGATCTTACTCGGAACACAAGGATCAGTAGCCGTCCAGACTCACCCGACATTAATAACCTCCGCGTCCAGATTTGGTATCATAAAAGCGACATGCTTCAGTTCAAGGTTTGTGCTTATTTATCATTATAGTATTAGTTTTTAACTTACAATGCTTTCCACTCAACTAGGCTTCTTTTGTACATAACATCTATCTTAAAGACTCTCATACCATTTAATACAAAAACCCTTGTGTTCAGATTTGGGACCCAACAAATGAACGCTATGAGGTACCAGTACCTCTGACACTGCCTTCAACGCCTGAGACAGATGAGGGCAAAAGACTTTACGAGGTGAAAATCAGTCAGAATCCATTTGGAATTCAGGTCATAAGGAAGAAAACAGGCACCAAAATGTGAGTATTTTACAATGAACTCTTGTTTTAAGTAGATTAAATGTATGGCCCTTAAATCTTTGACTGCCCCGGGAACTTCCCTTCTGGTAGATATTTGGTTAACTAAAATTTTTCAGTGATGTAATGTTGATACAGCTGCTCTTTGAAACCATCAGCAAAATGGCAAAAACAAGGTGTTTTTACTCAAATAAGACTTTTGTTGGTAAGCTTGAAGAGAGAGGGTTAATGCAACAACATATCTGTCTCACAAAAACAGTCTCCTTTTTGGGGCACCATGTTGTTTTTAATACAACTATGAGCATAGCATAAATCTTTATTTATCCATTAAGGCAACTTTTTTAGATCAGTTTCTTGGCCTTTTTTAGAGACATACATTTCTAAGTGAAGATAGATAGCATTTTACTTTTGAAATCTGGTTTCTACTCTTAGCCTTAAAAAAACCCTCTGTGATTCAGTGGAAACTCAATAGGTATGTCTAATGTCTTTTAATGAAAAAAAAAAAACGTATCATTTGTGACCAAGAATTGTCCTTAACTGATGCAGTTTCTATTTGTCTTCTCAAACTTCCTTCTTATAATGGATACAATAGATAAGTACAATAATGCTGAGAAAATTGTGCAATGTTACATTGCAGTGTAAATTGTATCACATTTTGAGTTACATAAATTATACATTGACATGAATGGGATCATGTCAATGTGAATTGAATTGTTAAATTCAATACAAAAATGTTTCAATACAATCCAGTCTCCAAACCAGGATCATCCTACTTGAAATCTGTTGCATATTCTTAAACCAAATCACTGAAATACTGTTGGATTTTAAAACAGGAAAGCTGAAGAAAGTACATCATACTCAGTCAATAAAGTAGTTACCTGATTTTCAGCAGTCATCATGGTGGTATATTCAGCAGAAGGTGCATTTCAGGCTATTTCAAAGAAAAGTTGTGTTATTTTATTGTTAAGATCTATTCTGGGTCTCTGCAAAATTACAGGTAAAATATTAAAATATAATTTAAGGGCTGTAATAGTTCCTTTGGACAGCTATCCGTGTTTAAAAAAAGACAGTGAATAGATGCATCTGACAATAATTCCCTCAACCTGTTTCTCACTGATTTCATCCCCCATCAACTCTCTTAGTTGGGACTCTGCTGTGCCGGGTTTCACCTTCTCAGACTTGTTCATCCAAGTGTCAACACGACTGTCATCAAATTTTGTCTATGGCTTTGGAGAAACCGAGCATCCCTCCTATAAACATGATCTCAACTATCATACCTGGGGAATGTTCTCCAAAGATCAACCTCCTGGTGTGAGTATTCTTCTAAATAAATCATACATTTAAAGAAAAGTCTAAAAGAAGTACCCCCCACCCACAAACATTGGCAAGGTCTGTCTGAATTTCTGGGCTTATTGTCACCCTTTGGTGCCTCTTTATGGGGACCTGTTAAGAATCTTTGCGCAAAGTATACAAGCTTCTCTAAAAGGCAACTCTGATGTGTTTCCGTTCATAGAAGGCATAGACTGTCTTTTTTTTCCCCCTCAAAACTAGTTTTAAGGTCAGTCAGAATGAGATTTCTACCAAGAATCAGCAATGTCAAGCATAATTGCTGAGCATGAAGTAAAGTTCTACATAGTTTATATAAATGTTAGGGTTCCGTTACAGAGCAAGGGAATCAAATTAGAAAGGGTGGAATAAGGATACAAATGTGCAAGATTAAAAGAACAATATAAAGAACAATAAATACTAGCCCTTGAAGTTATTTAGGAGGACCATGGTACTGTCATGATCTTTTTGAGTTACTGTACAGGTATCTGACCAACATGCAGGAAATCACTCAGAGAAACCAGGGGAGGGTTTAAAAGGTTTTATTGAAAACAAGTCGATATCGGTCCAGTGTTACTCTGAACGCTGGTGAACCGGCACTGGAAGTGAGAAGGGAAGTTCAGTGTTTAGTTCAGGCTCAGTGGGCAATTTTGATTTGCAAAAGCAGAATCAGCAACTGGACTCACATTTCCAGAAAAGGTGTCTTTCCAAGAATCCAGTCGGTGTGGGTTGTTCCAGAAATTGAAATTATTGTTGATGGACATTTTTCTTCTTTTTATGTCACCAGACCACTAGCAGGGTGACACCCATACACGTGTCCAAACAAGTTGGGAGCAACTGAGCTGGGATTTACAGTAGCAGCTTCTTATGTAGTAGATATCATTGCAGGATGGTGACCCAAGAAAGTGTCAAATTTCTCCTTCATTAACAATCCATCTGCCTTTTTTCACCTTCCCCACAACTTCTATCATCATCTAAGAACTCAAGACATGACTGGTATTTTTTCAGTAATTTTATGAGGACCAAATTAGGCCCAAAACACAGTAAGAAATGATATGATGTTCCATGTGTGTTAATCTACATGAAAGAATTCAGAATGCTGTTAAAAGAAAATATTTAACGAAACTCAATAAGTAAAACAAACATTAACCTGTTTATAAGGTGATGGATGAGCTCAATAGAAACTGCTCAGATCTCCACATTTTGACCAGAATTTAACAGCTTCTTTCTTTAACACTTGATTTCTTTTTCCTTTTTATTTCTCCTCAGTACAAGATGAATTGCTATGGAGTGCATCCCTTTTACATGGGCCTTGAAAACTCTTCTGATGCTCATGGCGTGCTGTTACTGAACAGTAATGCAATGGGTGAGAGAAATATGCACACATTAGCACCTACACTCATAAACCAAACTGTTTGAGGAACCAGCTCCATTGGTAACCGAGTCTGATCCCATTCCATGTAGGGGTGGAGCTCTACTGCTCTGAAAGAACATTTCAAAAGTAGGAAAACCCTTGATAAAGATTTAACCAAGGTTGACTGTTGAGGGGTTTTAACAATCCCGGGGTGATGTTAAAAGTCTTATTCTAGATAAGGCCCATAGGGTTTTAAAATCAAGCCCCCAGGAAAAGGAAATTAACATGGTAAATTAGGCAATATAAAAGGGACTATTAAATATTTTGATCTTAGATACTGTATAGGAAACCAAACACGTTTATGGAAAAAATGGACTGCATTTAATCTTTCAAATTAAAAGAATCAGCGAGGCTTATTGTGTGTCCCTAGATGTAACTTTCCAGCCAACTCCTGCTTTGACCTACCGCACACTTGGGGGCATCTTGGATTTCTACATGGTCCTGGGACCAACACCTGAGATGGTTGTCCAGGAGTACACTACAGTGAGTCTTCTACTTTGTTTCATATATGTGGCTTTAGCTCTGTTAGCATGTGTGCATTGCAATTGGCCCTGGGTCGCTGGTGATGGACTGCAGCAGCTGGGAGTTCTTTGCTTCATTGCACACTTTCATTTAGCCAGTTCAGACACACATGCACACAAACACACACACAAAGTAAGTGTGCACAAAAACAAAAAAAAAATAACAGTCACATTTGATCACAAAGCAAATATTTTTATTTGAGAAATTATTTTGACTTTTTTGTTTGTACTTTTTTACTTTTCAGCTGATTGGAAGACCTGTTCTACCTGCCTACTGGTCCCTCGGGTTTCAGCTTTGTCGCTATGGTTATGCCAATGATGCAGAAATAGAAGATCTATACAATGACATGAGAGCAGCTGGTATACCCTATGTAAGTTTAAAATATTTTTTTTTTGTATTAAAGACTGTTAAGTCTTTATCAATAATTACAATCAGGATAATAAGGCTTACCTATTAAGACATGCTGATGAAGATTCTCAGTCATCCAGGTCATAATTTGTTTAAAAGTTTAAAAACAATCCACTGGACTTGGTTTCCAACATTATTTAGACAACATTTTGGTTACTTGTTTACCTAATTTTTGCAAAATTATATGTTGTTTTACTGATATCCATATGAATGAAGGAGTAATAGGGCCAGGCTAGAGATTTTTTTTCGTAAGTCGTAACATTACGAGAATGTTGTAAAATTATGAAAATAAGTAATAAAATTACAAGAATAAATTCATAAAAGTATGAGAATAAAGTCATGAAATTATGAGACTAAAGTCATAAAATTATGAGAAACAAGTTGTATTTTATGGCAACTCTTACAAAAAGCACTTTCTTCCCTAAAATGAGGAATGTTGAGCATTATGTGAAGTTTTTCTTTGGCTCTGGTTTCATAAATAGGGAAATCTTTTAGCACAGCAGCATCACGTTGGGCAGGATTCAAAGTGGACTCAGGTTGCTGTTTGATGGTGCTGGTCGGCTGTCATATGCTGGTCGGAGCTTGAAGCTTTCTTTCTGAAATGGGTTGTTTTATGATGACTTCATTCTCGCAATGTTAAGACTTTATTCTCATAATGTTACGACTTTGTTCTCAAAATGAAAAAAAAAATCTCTAGCCTGACCCCAATACTCCGTCGTACAAATGACAAATGATAGTTTTTAGACTTTCTGCAATTACAAAGTTGCTTGCTGTTTAATTAAAAAAAACATTTACTCACATTAGCTCCCAAAATCATGTATCATATGAAAGTTTCAGTGCCATTGTCTGCACAATTTATATCTAAGTCTTTGGTTTTGCCCACCGATATATACAGTGCTGTCATGCCCTCAGAGGAAACCACTACATCTAATTTAAGGCTCCCAGGTTTAGTACAATTATTGAAAGGTGTAATGTACATAAATTGGATGTGTTAGAATAATACTGTCATTAGTTATTTGAATGAAGCCAAAGAGACATGGCAGATTATTTTGATACTCCCAATCTAACCTGATCAAAGGTGACCTCAGTTTTCAGAGGAAATAATTTCCATTGCAGGATTTGAGGTCTCTACACACTGCCTCTTTGGACATAAAATTATTATGAACAGTATTTAACAGCAACAAAGGACAAGCAAAATAAAAACAAAAAAAATGTAATGTTAGGTCATTTACTGTATGTCCTAAACCCCAAATCTGCTACATGCTTAGCAGAGCATGAGGTGTTTTGTCAAGTTATGTTTTTGCCTCTGTTACGCTCCCAAGGTCTAGGGGTTCTGGGGAGGTAACATAAAAATGTGTCCAGAGCAAATAAGTATAATGTAATAATGATTTATTCCAAAAGATGGTTAAACAGAACTAAAACACAATACAGCTTAACCCAATTAAAACAAAAGGGCAAACAAAATTCAAGAATGGTTAAGAATTAAATTAAATTACAAACTGCCCAAACCAGTCAGACTAAGTTTAACACAAGGGGCCGTAACAGCTTCTATAAAGGTCTTTCCCACAACAAGCACATTTCAGCAAATCCAACCCCATATTACCACCAAAGGCACCACTTTAGATGTTCTCCACCCTTAGGTGTTTTCAAATGAGTTAGGCAAATGATACAGATCAGCTTTTAGAAGCCATATAAAATGCCAAATAAATAGATTGAATACATTGTTTAATTTAGAAAATTGAAGGACAAAACTAAATTTCAAGAACATTGTAATGATTTGTTTGTAAGGATATTCAACTTCTGTGACTTTACTGGTTGTTTGATTTACAGGAAATTTACGTACAGGAATTATACATGTACTGTGCAGTTTAGCAGGAAATTTTTAAAACGCTTTGCAGTCAATTAAAAATACAGTAATCTAAAGTTCACCTTGCATCCACTACAGGATGTGCAATACGCAGACATTGACTACATGGAGCGTCAACTAGACTTTGTCTTGGACAAAGTAAACTTTGGAGGATTGCCAGACCTGGTTAACAAAATGAGAGCAGAAGGCATGAGGTTCATCTTCATTCTGGTAAGCAATACACAATAACACATCTGTTTATAATAATCTCTTTTGTAAGGACAGAATCTTTCTATCACCAAGTGTTTTTTCTACATAGCTTTCTAATATTTTAACTTGAGACTGTTTTTACTGGTCAAAAAGTAATGGGCAAAATGGGCAAAATGGGTAATGGGCAAAAAGTAATAAATGATGTATTGAATAGCAATAGTAATAAACTTATAACCATATGTTGTATATCACTGAAATTGCTTAGTGCAGACAGAGTATTTATGATTAAGAGTGTGTTTAATTACAGGATCCAGCTATTTCAGGAAATGAAACAACAGATTACCCTGCTTTTAGACGAGGGAAAGAGGCTGATGTCTTCATCAAATGGCCCGCTGAGCTTGGCAACGATATTGTGTGGGGAAAGGTAAAGTTAACTAGAGATCAAATCAAAATAATTAAATATCTCTTCTGTAATTATAAAAACAGATTAAAAAAAAGAAATTAATTTGTTTATTTTCTGTGACCCTTTTTTCTTCTAGGTCTGGCCTGATTTTCCAAATGTCACAGTTGATGAAAACCTTGACTGGGACACCGCAGTAGAAGTAAACTGCTTCTCATGTTCACCTTGTAACACTAGAATTTATAGTAATTCCAAAAAAGTTAAAAAAAAATAATAATAATAATTAAAATAATCCACTGGACTTTGTTTCCAATTTTAAAGAAGTTTTGCTTCCCACCCAGGAAGCTTTTTTTTTTAAATTCAAAATGTCAGAAATAGCATTGAGTCTTTATAGAGTGGACCAAAGAAAGCCTTGTTTTGGCTTACAAAACCTGCTGATTTTTTTCAGGGTTTATAGTATTTTATAATTATAGTATTTTGAAAGATGTTAGCCATGAAAATTAAGTTAACAGAGCAATAATTGCTATCAAATTAGAAATTATGTTTTATTTTCTTTTGTAAATCTGTCTCTAAGAAGAATCTTGAGTGGCATGTTTGTACGGTGCCTTGGGAAGCCTGGGGAACCTAACTCTGTTACTTAAACTCCATCTTTAGTTATGTTCTAACACTTTTCATTTACATAGCATTATGGCAGAATTTTAAATGTAGGCCAGTGTAAATTATTGCAAGGAATACTTTAATAATTTTTAACATTTGATTATTTCATCCAGCTGTATCGTGCATACACTGCATTCCCAGACTTCTTCCGTACTAGTACTGCAACATGGTGGCAACAAGAAATTAGTAATTTTTATAAAGAACTGAAGTTTGATGGCATTTGGATTGTGAGTATAACTAATAAATTCACAGTGTTTCCATGACCATTGCAAAGCTATCCTTTGGATTTAAGTACCATTTTATACATTCCGATCTGTCTTTTATCTTAAGGACATGAATGAACCTGCAAGTTTTGTCCATGGCACAGTTGGTGGAAAATGCCTGGGTAATCCCCTACTAGAGAACCCTCCATATATGCCCCGTAAGAAACAAAGAATCTTTTTGTTCTTTGTTATTTTCTAAAGATATTTTATATACAGAATAAGAACTTTGAAATACACTGTGTGAATTCCTCTGTGTATATGTGCTTTGTATTTGTGCCACTCAGCTCTGGAGTCCAAACATATGGGCTTGAACCACAAGACTCTATGTATGAACAGTGAACAAATACTTAGCAATGGAAAGAGAGTCAAGCATTACGACGTCCACAACCTCTATGGATGGTCTCACACCAAACCTACCTATGAGTAAGTGTATATGTTGTCATGTTGCCTGATCATATCATGTGTAGTGACATTGGTTTCCTTTTAATCAATATAAGTTTACTGCATAGCAAAGAACCACTATAATGTCAATTAATCCTACCATTAACAAAAGGGAACAGAAAATCTAAGTGGAACAAACATAAAGGAAAAAACCCAGTGTTAGGAGTTATATATGCCAGTCTATCCTGGTCTCATCAAACTGTAATGAAAATAATTGACAGTGTAAAAGCCTATTGGTCCCTGTAAAAGATTTTCATTTTTTTACACTACAGAATTAATTAGTTATGGCCTTAGTTCTTTAAGTTATTTAAGAAAAATTATAATTTTCTTGGTATTTAGTGGAACCAAAAACCGGATTCTAGGATCTGCTTTTTACAAGGTGAAAATTGTGGTGAATTAATTGGAACAGTGCAAATACGTCTAAATAGCAGCAACAATTTGTTTTTTGATCAATTTATCTTTGAGTCAGAATATAGATCTCTGAATAACATTGAACCCAAATAAACCAACATATTCTAGTTAAGAATTCAAAGGAAACTTTTGCCCCTACTAAAGCCCCTGTCACACCATGGCGATTTAGACCTGCTTATGCCTGACGTGCAGAAAATCTGGCAAAAACGTTGGCATACATTGGATAAGTTATGGGTACGTTTTGTATAAGTTATGAGCACGCTGAA